TATATAGCCAGGGGGTTTTCTCTCCTGCACAGATTTCTATCATCCTTAACTTTTTCATCCCTTCATCACAAACTTTTCTACACTGGAATAATAAGAGCGTCATGCATGAAGAGTGACTTCAGTTCATCATTTTAGCTCCTAATTCCTGGTCTTTGTGAAAACATCCTTCCATTGTCATCCATCCATCCATCCAGTTCATGGCAATTCAGTAAACTGACCAATTGCCACCGTGACCTCACGCAGTGCTCTGACCTCTCCCTGCAGTATGTGATTTATATGAGGCTGCTGACTCGTGTGTGGACGTCTTGTGTCGTGAGGAGATGTCAGGAGCCTTCATGTGTCCTGGAAACTGTCCAAAACATTACACAAGAGAGGACTTCAAGTTTTCTGGTGTGATGTGACAGGCCCTCCCACTGAACACTATTGAAGGGCGTAAACCTCCCTTCTGGAGACACAGTCTCACTGGTGTCTGACAGTGAATTGATGACAGTCTACTCTCCCAGTGGGAAATCATACTGAGCCTGTAGTCGCACAGTGAGAGATTTATTACGGCTACCCCCCCCCCCCCTTATATGCCGTCTGGGTCGCTGATGAAATTTAAAGCAGTTGTCTTTCTTCTTTCTCTCCAGTTGTCTTCCCCTGACACAGCAGACTCCCATGTTTGATTCATGTGCTGAGAGACGCACTCATGTCCGTCACAAAAAGCAGCAAGAACTCCCCCCTTTTTTTTAAGTTCTCACAGAATCACATGGACAGTCATATAAAAAAGACAAACTAAACCACAACTGTAATAATGTGCCAACTACGTTTTTCAGCAGCGAGCGGCTCCATATTCACTCTGTTTACAAGAAGGCAGAAAACGTGTGTGGAAGTGTCAAACCTAGTCAGTCAGTCGAATTATACGAGGGTGGAAAAACCCCTTCTTCAGTGTAAACAAAGCGGTTGCCGGGCAGACATGTTGCTATAGGCGGTGATTTTGTCAAAGTAGGTTTGGTCATGAGAAGAAAAGCATCATCCTTCATGTATGTATCTTATGGCTTTGTTATGGTTTGTAGTTAAGAGAGGTTAAGCTTCAAATTGCATATAAATCAAACTTTGAGTGTGTGTACCTGTTGTGTTCATCACCATAGGGTTGTTTATAGATAGATTGAGTCTCCATTTATAATATTTCCCAGCGAATCATCCCAAATATGTCCAGTGTATTCATTAAAATAAATAAAGAGGAATAGATTAACATGGGAAATTAAAACTGGATAAATCTATGAGGACTCCAGGATGATAATTAGCAGGTTTGTGGAAGTGAACAGGGTTTCCTGCAGGCAGCAGAGAGAAATCTGAATTCATTGAGACTGTAAAATGTAGGACAAGCTTCATATTATTCTTTTTACTCTTGAATGATCTCGTAAGCATTTTGGTGGCAAACAGAGAGTTTTCTTTCGGCCACGTGATTGTCGAGAGTCACACCAACCACTCGTCAACCATGAAACGCCGCTGTGGTCATCCCTTTCTCAGCGACACTCATTTGTCACAGTGTAATTAGGAAGTTATTCTATAGCCGAGTGTAGTTAAGACAAATGGCTTCAAGTTAATTGTCTCCAGCATCATTAACTACAATAGAAGATCATTTACATTTTGTAAACCATGCAACAGAGTCCCAGAGGAAAAGATACCTTTATTAATACACCTATTAATCTGAATTTTCTCGCCATCTTTACGTCCGTTTAGCAGTTTCTGTGTGACAGGCGATTCGGAGAGGGGCACTCAGCCACCGCCGCCTGGGCTCGCTGCTTATCCTGCCATGTTGGGGGTGTAGGCTGAGTAATACTGTGGGAAAGAAAAGTGCCATTCACTGCTGCGAGGGGAGTTATTCATAGAGCTCCCCTCGGTTCAACACAGGGGGGCTATCACACATTGTCTCCTCGGAGTGAACGCACTTATGAGCCGGAACAAGCCGAGGACAGAAAACCTCTGTGGTGAACGTGGTGATGTAAACTGGTAATTTGGTGATTTTCTGTAGGGCCGTATGTTTTTTTTTTGTTTTTTTTGTTGTTGTGTCGTTAATGACGATTTAATGTAAAAAGTTATTGAATCA